GCACTGTACAAATGTGCCAGAAAGATGTGTGGAGTGAGGCAGGAATGCTTGTAGAAGCTCTCTAGCTTAGCATAACCCAGTGTAATGGTAGTAGTGGTACACAGTAGCAGTGCACTAACAATACACCAAAAACTCTTTGCTGTTACTGCCACTACAAAGTAGCGCAGCACTGCAGTGGTAGTGGCCTGCTGACACTACACAAAAAAGGACCACTGTTAGTGACACTAAGTGGCCCTGTAGCACAGTTTAGCGTAGCGGCCCACCACTGATAGAGATAGTTTGTTGGTACCCGTTGCTAGGTACTTAGTACCACCCGCACCCGCCTCGCACCCGCCAGGCGGTGCCGGGTGCCGGTTTTTTGACAAAAAAAGGGGAGGTACCCGGGTACCGCTACAGGTACTGCCCCCGTGAGTCTTGACCGGAAGGGTTTCCTTCCGGTCAATGAGGTTGATGTACGTCCCTGATTGGAAGGGTTTACTTCTGGTCAATGAGGTACATGTACCAACGCTGCCACAGATACAGTATCTGCCCGTATCTGCCATGTATCACTATGTATCTGAGCCCCAATAAAAAAAAACTATCTGACCAATCTGCTTTTATTTGCAAGGAGATTCAACAAATTTGGTTTTTGGCCATGCAGCTTTGCAGAATTCTCCATGATACACACAGCGTATTGTATCTGTGGCAGCGTTGCATGTACCTCATCAACCGGAAGGAAACCCTTCCAATCGATGAGGTACATCTACCTCATCAACCGGAAGGAAACTCTTCCGGTCAGCCTGGCCGGGAGGCTGGGGTCAAGGCCATTTTTTTCTTTTCTTTTTATTTTTATTTTTCTTTTTCTTATTTTTTTTTTCTTTTTGATTTTTTTTTTCTTTTTCTTTTTCTTTTATTTTCTTTTTTGTATCTTTTTTTTCAGCAATTACAAACTTTTTTTTTTGAAATTCTTTTCAATTGTTTTTGACTTTATTTTTTTTTATGTTTTTAAAATACAATGATAGTCACAAAAAATCCCCCCCAAAAAAACTCAAACAAGATGCAAAAGGATTGTAATGAACCTTGCAGTCAAACTAAGTGAGGAAGAGAGGGGAGGTACCCGCGGTACCTGCCAAAAGTACCGCCAGTACCCGCCGGGAGGTGCCTGGTGCGGTACTTGGTACCTATTTTCTGAAAAAATTCAACAGGTACCTACGTACCAACAGGTACCCAAGTACAAACAAATGATCTCTAACCACTGATATGATGCAGCAGTGGATGAGTAATACACCACCCCACCAAGATACTCATCTTTCCTTTCCATTCCTACATTGGTCCCTCAACACATCATATTTTAAGAATATTGGGAGACATCTCCCCTAAATTGTTGATTTGATGTGATTTCTGGGTTCCATTTTTGACCAAGATTACTCCACAAATATTTAAATTGTGTCCCTCAAAGAAATTAGGATTGGCAACTCAGTTATGATGGTGGAGTTTTGATACCGGAGTGTAGGGCTTTTGTGCATTGCAGCTCAAACTTGCTGTCATTCAGCATCAACTTTGGTATACATTTTCAGTTTGGCTAGGTGAAGAAAACTCAGCTGTAGGAAGTCTTTGATGAGAATGCTATTGTGATTTGAAGAATGCTTGGACGGATTTGCAGGATCTGCACTCGAAAATCAGGGATTTAAGTTTGGATTTTATTTAATTTTTTGTCTCTCAAAGCCATGATGATGTCGTCATAGTCCTTTGCCCACAGCAACCTCGTTTGCTATGGATTCACAACCCAGGTGGCCCGCTGCCTCCAATCCACACCAAAAACAACCAACCGACATTACATGGCATTGGCGGCTCGATAACTGGCTCAACATTGCAGTTTGGCTACAACCTTCTTGGAAGGCATCATTACAACATCAACATATAACATATCGAGACGAGACGCTAACGCATTCTGGAGGATCCATGGAATTGGGCCACCACTCTCCCAAATCCTGTTCAGTGTCTTAATTCTGACATCGGGACCAATGTTGCTTCTTATCTATCTTGCCTTGTGGCTCCTGCATGTAGGCAAATGCATTTTTTTACATTTACTCAGTTCGATGCTGTTGCAGATCTTGTCACTTGACATTTTTCCAGCTTCCTTCCCTGTTCAATACATTACCAATGATCTTCACTTGTTTCCTATCATCTTTGTTCCCCTAATTGTGGTGTAATCCTGAAGAGTAACATTTATGAAATCCCTCATTAAGTTCCGACTTGGTAGAATGCGCACAACTTCAACTTGGAGTGGTTATCAATGAGATGTGAGCCATGTCAAAGGAGACCAATCTCCAGACTTGAGTTAGAACCAGTTGGTAGAAGAACGACATGCAGAATTGATGCGTATCTTCATCTCAGAAGTTGAGACTTGGCTCACACTAAGCTCTTGGAGTGAAGGTCCAAGTAAATTCATTGAGTCGGTCATGATCTTCTCCAAATTGCTACCGATCTTCTCCAAATCACTGCCGATTTAAAAGGAAGCCTATGGAATGACAACCAGTCGATTTCCAGCTGCTGATTTGGATTGGATTCAGAGTCTTGCACATTACGAGATTGGATATAGAAAAGAAGATGAGCTCATTTTCTAATTACAATTATTGGTTTGGTTTAGTCAAGGATAACATGAGTAACAACAGTCAAACAAGACGAAGGCATGCAGATAACCAGAAAGTTTGAGTACAAGAACAACACCAATTGGCTTTAGTCCAAAACAATCGGTCCAGGCAAGTTAATGGCCAAAAAGCGATCTGATCTGGATGTCAGTGTGAATGAATCGGTCGTCACTGGTAGGGAAACAAAGACAAAACCAAGATCAGACAAGAAATCCTTTAACGCTCTTTGTCTCAATGACACACAGTACCCACAATTTGCTTTGGACTGCCAAACCGGGTACTCTTACTGCTTCTTCTCCTTGTTTTTCGTGCTCTGCGGCTATGAATTACTCTGACATGAAATGAAAGCTGTTTATGGTCTTTGGTAATTGTTCAACCTTGAGTATCCTTCGGTCTTTGCAATCAGAGCCAGTGAGCTCTTCCATCTCGGAACCCCCAGTCCGGCTACTCCAATTCATTGTTGACCAGCTGGCTAATGTTCTGGAAAGTCCTGGGTTAACGGTTTCGATCGGGGTACCACATGGCTTCTCCAATTCGAGAAGGATGTTTGATTTTCCAATTGTTGGTCTCAGGAAAGACCGGCCCGGGGACCTGTCCCAATCCGATTGGCTTCTCCAATTCTATGACTGTCTTGATGGCTTGACTGGGATGTTTATTGAACCATTTCCAGGTCAGTTTCAGGAGACACCGGGGGACTCAACCCACATGGTGAGTTCAATTCCACCATCTTGATTCGAGTTAAACTTATAGGATCTTTATTTTACCGGCGTTGGTCAGTCTCGCGGAGAGGCACCGTGAGCAGGGAACTCAACCCAGGACGGAGACTGGAGGGCGAAGTCACAGAGCCTGTGCCGGACCAACATATATAAGGGACAGAAAACCGCGCTCATTTGATGGTCCACATTGCGCTCCAGTCATCTGTTGTCGGCCATCACTTTCCATTCCTCACCTTCTTTCCAGTCCATACATAGATCCGTCAACCGCAAGGCGAGTCAGCTTTCCACGTTACTCATCCGACCTTGCCCGCTGACGGCGGTCTTGTTTTGCAGACTCTCATTCCCAGTACTCGGCTGCTCTACTGCAACCTTACCCAGAGGACTCGCCAGCGCCATCCAGTTCCAACGGCCCAGAAGGTGAGTTTTCATCTCTGCACTGAACTTGTCTGAGAACATCTTCTGACGCTCTCATGCTCCGCAGAACTATCGAATCATGAAGATTTTTCTAGTTCTGGTAGTCTTGTTGATGTGTGCAAGCTATGTATCAAGTGGTCGGATCCCCAACGGGGACATTCGGCAGCTCTCAAAGTCAACCGAGCCGAAGCCAGGTAGCCTTGCTCCACATGATGATGAGGATTCGTGTCCTTGTATTATTGACAACGAGAGGCAAGAACAGTGTGGAGACACTGAGCTCTGCTCCGGGGGATGCGGCAAATGTGCTAGCCACTGTACTTGCAGCGACGGCGCCGCTGATTCGACTCGTTCATCTTCTGGTTCAAATGGTTCATCTAAATCCTCAAATGGGGATTCTAATGACCAGGAAGAATCAAGCTCAACAGCCGAGTCCAGTCCACCCAGTAGCCTCCATGCAAGTGATTCTGAATGAATCACTCACAGTTTGCATCAAGACTAAATCAATCAAACCATCCCAACAGGAGCAGTTATGGTTGTGACACTCTCCCCTTCAAAAACTGCACTTTTGATTTGTCCACAAATCCGCATGTCTGCACAATCCTCTATCTAAACCGAGTTCCCAAGTATTCTTAGTCCATGTTCATGTTGCTTTTTGCCCCCAGCTGTACGATGGGAATGTTTGATGGACGAGTTGATCCGAACTGGAGCTTCCATGATTTGTATTGATCAATGACCAGAGCACAGTTCACCTAGAATAATTCCTACCAAATGTTCTGGTTTCATAACACAGTTATGATATACCCACAATGATTTGCAAGCTGCTGCAGATTTTTTTTTTATTTAAAAAAACGGCATGTGTTGAAGGCTTATTCCGGAGTCCGCCAATTGCCCAAATTTCCCTTACAAATGAGAAAGCTTCTCCCAGAGAGTGGCTGAGAAGCTAACCCAGATGGGTCAAGTTTTTGAGAGGCATTAAAAGAGCCCCACAAGGCAATGGTGGTGTGACACAGCTTGTATTCAGTTCTCAAGTTGATGAAGATTTTGCTGGCTTTAACCTTGCCATTCTAGCACAATCAAGGTTGCACCAATATGTTGCACAGGCTTTCACCCACATCAAACCTTCATGATCCTGATCTACTTGAGCTGGTCCATCCCCCCAGAAAAAGTGATTGATCTGATACTTATGGTTGAGTGGCCTGTGGCCTCTCCAAGTTATGGATGTCAGTATGTATTTATGTATGCGCATTGGCCACGTTTTTCCCTTGAAAGTCGAGAAACTGATCATTGCCTTTCATTTCTTAACATATATATGAAGAAGAAAAAGAGAATCAAAAAAGGAAAAAGGTCGAGAAGAAAGAGTTTTTTTTCTTTGGTGATTCGATGAGTGTAAAGAAGAAGAAGAAAAAAGAAGACACATGAATCATTTTCTTTTTTTGATGGGTGATGATGAGTAAAAGTAGTAAAAGAAGAAAAAAGAAGGGAGGTAGATCATCAAGTAGACCGGAACAGCCAAAAAAAAAGGGAAAAAAAGAAAGAGAAAATGTGAACATGAGTAGTGAATGGGTGATAGAGAGAGGGAAGGGAAGAGTAATGATACATTCTCTTAGGACAGGACACGACGACGACGACCGAGGAAGAAGGAAAGGGCCGTACGAAGCGTGGGTGAGATCCCAAGAGGGAGATATATATCAATAGGATCGGAGGTCTGAGAGCGCACGTGTGTGTATGAGATCGAGAGGAGGGGAGGTAGTCTAACAACATCCACTGGACTGTTGTTGTTGGACGTTCTGGCCCGCGCCGACCTTGAGAGTGGCCTTGTTTGAGCCGGTGTTGACGGTGGTCGAGCCGGTGCTGAGATTGAGAGGAAGAGAGTGGATCGGTCAGTCTCCCTCTCATCATTTCCCAACTGGGTCATCATCATCAAAGAAGAAGAGTGCTTGCTTACCGGTCCTTGATCTGCTTGGCCATCGTCAAGAAGGCCTGCTCGACATTTGTTGCACTCTTAGCCGAGGTCTCGAGGAAAGGCTAGAGACAAATCAAAAAAGGAAGCGTCTTAGCATAAGTCTCACTAGAAAAAAATAACAGGAATACTGGATTGAGAAGGAGAGGGACAAACGATAGTCAGTTGGTCAGCAAAGTCCTTAGCGACCGTATACTCGACCACCTTCTTCTGAGTCAAGTCACTCTTGTTACCGACGAGGAGTTTGTTGACACCTTCGCAGGCGTACCGATCGATCTCGTGGAGCCATTGCTTGACGTTCGTGAACGTGTCCTGGTCAGTCACATCATACACCACGATGATCCCGTGTGCGCCTCGGTAATAGGACGAGGTGATCGTCCGGAATCGTTCTTGACCTGCCGTATCCCACTACGCATATGACCACATACAAGATTTTTAATGCGAGAATGATCAGTAATCATAATCGGCATCAACCGTCGAGAAAATAGCGATCATTTGGAGATAAGGGGTCCGGAAGACTGACGATTTGTAACTTGACCGTCTTTCCTTCTAGCTCGATCGTTCGAATTTTGAAATCGACCCCTAAGAAGAGAAGGAAGGTGATGTTCAGATAAGAAGACGAGAATGATCGTCAAGTAGTAGTGAAGTATATACCGATGGTAGAGATGTAACTATCGGTGTAAGTGTCATCTATAAATAATAAAACAGAGCGATGAGCTAGTCAGATAAGGATGACACATGAATCGAATGTCGAGTGAGAGCTCTGACCAGCAAATCTTAGGAGTAAACAAGATTTCCCGACTCCCGAGTCGCCAATCAAAAGGAGTTCTGTTGGAAGAGATTTTCGAGGAATACATCAGCAACAAAAGAAAGAACATGACTACTTGGCAAGAGATGATGACCCTTCTCTGTCTTTGAATGGTTTGTTGAGAAGAAGAAGCACTCAACTGAACTGGTTGATCGTGGTTCGTTTGATGATTATGTTTGAGGGAAAGAGCATTAATCAATCAGTTCAGACAGCTTGCTTTTGTTGTTGTTGTTTTTGGTGACTGACCAGATAATCGTCTGAAACGAAGAGAAGAAGAAGAGTCAGTCTGCTGTTTGATGAGGAATGAGTTGATAAGGATGAGGAGACTGACAATCTGGAGTCATATTGTTTACTAAGTAGTCTTCGATCGAGTGGTTGTTGTTGATGGTTGATGGTTGATGGTTGTTGATGATGATGGTGGTTGTTGTTTGGTTTTGCTGTGAACTGGTCATCACTCCTGTCTGGACTCTGGGTCTCTCAGGGGGGTGGGCAGTACCCCCGGGGGAGCCCGGTGATTATAAAGGGTCCCACCCGAGGGTCAGGCTTCAGCTGACCCTTAGTATCAAATCCAGTCAACTGGGATCACCACCAACCAAACAGCCACCAACAACGACCAGCCACCAGACAAGAAACATTCAAGAACGAAAGAAACCGCTCCCTTGAGAGTTACCGGATGAATTTACCCACCTACTCACTCGCCGACTCACCCCATTCGACGATCCTCAACGTCTGTCTAGGCGTACCCCCATCTTCCAAACCAATCATCATCAATCGACCACCACCTAAACCTTCATCATCATCATCATTATCATCATCGTCATCTTCTTCTTCTTCAAAGGTATTCATCTCACAGCAGAACAAGAAATCTGACCTCAAAGGCAAAGCGCCTCAACGTGACCAAAACGAACAACAGGAAGAAGTAGAAGAAGAAGAAGAAGAACAATGGCAGGATGCGGAGTTCCGGAGGTCATCCACTCGCCAACCTACGTCCCTCCCACCGTCCGATCAAGATCTTCTGAACAATTCTCACATTCATAACGAGAAAGGGAGCGGAGAGAATGAGGATCATCCCTTGTTCAAATATACCGGCTGGGACGAATGTTTTGCAACTGCTAATGCTGAGGGATGGACCATTTATCGGAATTATCCGCTCAGAGTCATTCAAAAACATGGTCCGTAATTTTACGTATTCTCGAACATGATTTTTATTCTAGTTTGGGTTCAATTTAATGACCAAAAAATTGGGGGTTTTTTTTTTCGATATGTGCGTAGTGGTTCCAAATGGTTCATTGAGGATCGTGATGCCGCTTCATCGAACAAACATACTATATCTAGTTGGGGGCCCACCGAGTGCATTATACTCACCGAACAAGGTGATAATCTACGACAGTTTGGAATCAAAGGCGAAATATTCGATCGAGATGAGCTCGCCAGTTCTAGGAATCACGGCAAGACGGGATAAATTAGTAGTAGTCCTATTAGAACGGGTGGTGCTATTTGGGGTGAGTCCGGAGGGGGTGATGTATGAGGAGGGGGAGTGGGAGACATGCAAGAATCCGAAAGGATTGGTCTGTTTGGGGTCGGCTGTTGGCAGCAGTTTGCTCGTCTTTCCAGGCCGACAATCCGGGAAGGTCCAGATCGTCCATCTGCCGCTCTTCGAACCCGATCGTCCTGCCTCCTCCTCCTCCTCTGGAAGAATCTCCGACCGGACCTCCGCCGATCGTCGACAACATCCTCCATACCCTTCCACGGCCATCCTCGTCGCACATACTACCCCTCTCGCCAGTCTCGCCATCACTCCCTGTGGGAAACTCATCGCCACCGCCTCCGTCACCGGCACCCTCATCCGCATCTGGAACGCTAAATCCGCCGCCCTCGTCCGCGAACTTCGCCGGGGTACTGACGGCGCGGAAATCTGGGGCTTGCGCTTCAGACCCGATGGGCTGGCTATCTGCGCTACTAGCGATAAGGGCACTATTCATGTTTGGAGCCTTGCGGAGAAACCGAAGACTAAAGAACCAGCTGAGGATGGGTAGGTCATTCTCTCTATAGAGTTGTTTTCCAACTTGTCGATCCTTCTTTCCTGATCTCAGGAGATCTATTTTCTCTTCCCGAGACTGAGACAAGCAAATGATGTTCTTTCCAACAAAACAAATGACAGGAAAACTGGGAGGTCGTTAGCATTATTGAAGCCCTATCTACCCAAATACTTTCATTCGACATGGTCCGACGGGTTTTTCCGACTTCCCGGGCCGGGAGGCAAGCCGAGTCGAGGCACGAGTCTTCCGGGCCTATTTGGTTCGCCGGTGATAGGTGGGGCGAGTTCAGGGGAGTCGAGTGGGGGAGGAGAAGGGATAGAGGGAGGGATAGCTCATGGACGGCCATTGATGACGGTGGAAGATGATGTGAGTTTGGTCAGCTGGATCCTCGCGCCAGGACCGGGGCCCGAGCCGTCTCCTCCCATCGAGCCCCAAATCGTCGCCATCACTCGCTCTGGTGCTTGGTTCAGACTCCGGATGCCCCCCTCTACTCTCGACCTCTTACATCCCCCTCCTCCGAATACTACCTCATCCTCCTCGTCTGCTGCTGCTTCTGGGAAATCTCCCTCGGTCGATCGTAGCGTGCCGCTCGAATGCGTCGAGTATCGTAGGTTCCTTGAGGACGAGGATTGGAGTGATGAGGATGATCAGGACTGTATTGGCCGGTTTCCTTCTTGACTCTCTCTCTCTTTCTCGCTGCCTACTTTTTAACCATTACCATCGTCGTCCCGGTTGTTGTTGTACTCTTCCTTGTTGGGTTTTTTTAGTAGGTGCATCTCACAGAAATATTCATGTACAAGTTGTTGATATATCATCATCTTATCAGCCTTTGTAATATCAGATAGAAGGGGCAGCTGGGTCAAATTCCTTTTTTTTCTTTATCTCTGCTTCAACATATCAACTTTTCTCTTATTACCAAATCTCTCTACATTTTACTTTTTTGTTACTGTGGTTGTAATTTATTGACATATGTACTCTTTCTCAGTCATTTTTTTTTGAGCTTAAATTTAATGGAAGCTTCCTTCCTTCCGCAATCGTTTGGGAGGTGTGTATAAATGGGGGAAATGGTGATTTATAAAGACACATGCCATTCATGATAAACTCAGTCAAGAAAAAGATGTTCTGTGACAAATGATTTTTGCAAAACAAGTATATGCATTATGTAATGCTGAGAGGAGCACTATCTGTCAATTATCCTCTAATTATATGGGTTTAATATTCATCAAAGTATTATTTATAGCAGTGGCAAAGTAACTTGCATGTATGATTCAAGTACTACAGTGCAGAGCTTTATGGGCCACGTGGTGCTTCATCTCCCATATTGCTTGAGGGAAAAAATTAAGCTCTACACAAATGAGTATTAGATATTTGTCAAGATATGAAGAAAAAGAAAGTGATCATTTTTCAATGGTGGCTCAAGGCTCCTATTGCAGATTGTGTCAATTAGGTTTCACTTTAGATTCAGGGGCTGTCCCCACTCCAGAACATCACTATATGGAACATGGAGGTTCATATTTCAAGGAAATCAAATGGTCTTGTCGACTGATCTTCACAAGCTTGATGACAGAGCTTTCAAGTTCAAAGAGGGAGCACTAAATCAACATTTGTTGAATAATCTGGTTCAAGTCTTTCATGGGATGGAAAACCAGGACAGTAAGTTTTATGGGTTCAGTTGGATTTGCAGGCATTTTACACAGCAACTTGTTTTTTGTTTGAAAAATTATGTCTCGCATACTTCCACGATTTTCTCTATTTTGAAAAACGTATTCAAGAGAATTGAAGTAATCATGCACTTTTTCAGCTGGCCTTCTTGTTTTTATGATGTGAGAAAATTCTTAACAAAATCCAGAATATGCCAGCTTGTATGCACTGATTGATCATGGTACAGAATCAAAAGAAAAGAAGAATCTTGAAGCTTTATTTGGCAAATGATTTGATTGAAAATGAATATATTGGGAAATGTCTAGAAATATGATCCTTTATAACTTCTGCACAGATGTCTAGTCTGTCGATTTAGAACTAAGAGCTTTAAACACAGTCCAGTTTATCACCCTGCTCAGGCTTGTCAATTGATCCATGGACTATTACCTCCCTGGGGATAAATATAAATCCTTCATGGTCCGGCTGATTCCAGGTTATGGGATTGAAAAACATCAGTCAGCCCCACCACTAGATGAAGAGTTACTTCTGAGCTACTGTCCCCACGCACCTTGAGTTGCGACACTTTTTGACCACAGCATCTGGTTCTTTCTAAATTTTCCCCTCGATAGTGATAGCAATTTTTATCTGTAGGTTGAAACTTGGCTTTGAAATTCAATCAAAATCAAGTAAATGATGTATTTATGTACCAGGTTAGCTCATTACATTATAAATATTTGTCATTTCAATTTCAGGTGATTTGTAAACACATACCTTTAACCAACTTTTTCTTAGGGTCGTTGTAGTCTTCGGATGAAAAGCAAACAGGTACAAAACCCTTTTTCGTGCAGGTGGCTGGCGGTTTGGATGGGTGGAGCACCTCGGCAGAAACGGTCAGAGTCAAGGCTGTTGTAAGCAATAAGAGTACAACTGGGCGGTAAATTGGCATCATCATGTGCAACTTTGGTATGGCTATAAGTCTGTCAGCTCCAGGACACAGTGAGGGACAAAATGGTCTTCAGTAAAGCCAAAGAAGTAGGGCAAGTAAATCTGGGAAATTTGAAGTGACTTCAGTTGAGTTGACAAAGATGCAACATTTTCAGGGTGAGTGAGAATCATCGAAGTAGGCAGACTATCAGTGAGGTTTTATAATCCACAGACACGATGATAGCCGAGGGATTCTAGCCAGGTAGTGTCCGCACGACGGGGCAAACGATGTCGGTAGTCCTGCTATCGCTATCAATACTTACATAATTCCTACATTCATTACTCCTTTCTGTGCGTTGCTAGAGCCACCAGATGGCTAGCGAGAAAACAAACAACCTTTGAAAGTGTCAAGGACAGAGGTGTTTAATTACCCTGGTTCTGAGCAGCAACCATCCTAATTTGAATGTCTCATAAGAGGCACAACATTGTCATTCAATGACCCTGTTTCTAAGCAGCTCGGACTAGCCCATGTAGCCGGAGTCGGTGAGGAATGTAGCAGCTGATGCATGTATACATCCTGGCAAGTGAAGTATGGCTGGCAAGCAAGGCCGGAGTCGGCATCCAAGCTCATTCAAAAAGGGCGAGCCCGATTTTTTTTTTCAGCCATAAGCGCTGTAAAGCTTCTGTGTACAGCCTGCCCAAACGCGCTCCTCGGACCCATTCCGATGCCGGTTGCCTGTGAAGCCGGAGGGCTAACAGGACTCTAAGGCTGTAGAAAGGCTGCGGCTGCGAAGCAGAAACTATATGCAATGCAAAGGAAAACTATAACTATGAAGCTAAAAAAAGACTATGAACAAAGTGTGAGAACGTAGATGACTAGATGACTGGAGAACAACGGAGAGAGGGAAAGCTCGAGGGTTTATATACCCGAGATGCTGAGTGAATCACTTAAACATGATAAGCGGAGAGCCGCATACAACGGTGGACCAAGGCGGTCACGTCTGGATGAAACCAGGGGCTGAGTATCAGCCTAAGTCAGAAAGAGAAAAGAGGGAAACGTAAGGGTCCAAGGTATCGCCGTGGCCCTAAGTAGGCGGTGTCGTCGTGGCGCCGGCTACACCTGCCAGACCACGCAGTTGGGCCCGGTGCCCGGGTAGCGATGGACGGTGCAGAATATGTAAGCGAAAAATTCACCAAGCAATGAATGGCACGAATCCTGGGACCGGATATCTAGCCATGAAAAGGTTACAGTTCTTTGTTGGACGATGAGGAAGATGTAAAGTTTTGTATCCTTCGGTGGCAAAAAAGGGCTTGCGCAAAGTTGCAAATGCAAGCTTTTTCGGAATGGCTGTATCGCATGCTCTTCTTCAAAGGTCTCCATCTCAATCAATGGCCTCCATCTACCTCTCTTCGAATCCAATCATCTTGCCTCCTCCTCCTCTGGAAGAATCTCGGACCGGACCTCCGCCGATCGTCAACAACATCCTCCACACCCTTCCACGGCCATCCTCGTCGCTCATACTACCCCTCTCGCCAGTCTCGCCATCACTCCCTGTGGGAATCTTGTCGCTACCGCCTCCGTCACCGGCACCCTCATCCACATCTGGAACGCTAAATCCGCCGCCCTCGTCCGCGAACCTCGCCGGGGTACTGATGTCGGGGAAATCAGGGGCTTGCTCTTCAGACCCGACGGGCTGGTCATCTGCACTACTAGCAATAAGGGCACCATTCATGTTTGGACCCTTGCGGAGAAACTGTTAAAATTTTAAACTGAAGAACTTAGGAGGCAGAGGGCCAAGAAAGTGAATTTCCTTTTTGGGAAAGGTTCACGGGAAAAGAGTCAAAGAACCAATGGATTTTATTTCTTGTAGTTAGCCTGTTTAAATAGCCTAAATACAAGAGGTTTAAGATGTGGTTGAGAGAAATGAATAGCAGAAACAAATTGAATAAAAACTGAGAGGAAATAAGTTTATGAGTTCTTGGAAGAAACAATGTGACAGGCCTTCTCAATCTCTTTTAGTCATGCCAGAAGATTAATCAAGAGAAAACATAAGTTAGACCACAAATATTGAAAGGCGTTAATTCTCAATAATCAGTTTTTAAAGAATCAAATAGTGAACTAGAAAAAGAAAGAAACCAATCAATAAGACTAGAATTGTTTGATGAAAATTGCCATGATGAGTTCTAATTAGACTACAACAGAGCATAAGATTCAACACAAAAAACAGCTATGATTGAATATAATTCAGTCCAGGTCAAGATGATTCAAGAAAGAATAAGGGAGAAAAATTAGAAGAAAGAGTAGCCAGAGAGTTGTAAACTCAACAGAAACCCAAGACTTTGGGCAAGTCATTCCCTTTATAGACTTTCTTACACTTGTCAATCCCTTTTTTCAAACCTCAGGACATCTATTTTCTCTTTTCAAGACTGAGACAAGTAACAGTGGCCAGTTATGCTAACCTTAGTGTTAGGAAGCAATTATAAATGGGCCTTTTTTGAAGAATTTTTTTATTTTTTATTTGTTCATTTTCATAGCAATCTCCTTATGGAATTTCCTCACAGTGCTTATGGGGTTCAATTCCATCCCTTATGGGCTGTATCAATCTGCACAATTTTAAAGCATAAAGACAGTGCCCCAACCTCAAAGGCCTGATAAAGCTTGCATCAACATAGCTACAAAATATCAATTACAGATACAATAAACTGGCCGTGCAGGTTTATAATTACATAGTGCTTCAATTTTTTTGTTTTCATTTTCATCATAAAAGAAGTTTCAAAAACAAACCAGAAAAGTTTCAAAAAGAATTCAAAAGCATGTATAATTGCTGCCTTAGTGCAGGTTAATGCAGCAGAATTCCACCAAAATTTAGCATGGTGTAGTGTATTTCTGTCTCCTCTAACACTACATGTGCAGGACCCCAAAAATAGCCCGCTATGCTTCACTAGCAAACTGCTTAGCGGCAATTTGTCCCTTTATCAACCAACATTCTCTTAAAGTCTAGGGTTGTAGGATTCACATTAGGAAAGTTGTGCATTAATGGTGTCTTTGGGAGTCCTGGGGACCTCTTTCTGAGATGCAAGGTGAATCCTTGGCTGAAGATTTTTAACTCCTGTTATAGGCTATCTCAAGTGCTGGTAGGAGACCTACCCAGTCATGGGTATATCCATCTTCATTTTCAAAATCTAATCCAAAGGCACAAAACCTCCTGAGCATATCCTCTAAAGTTTGGCTCATTATTTCTGCTAGCCCATCTGTCTCAGGGTGATATTCAGGGGAAAAGGCGACTTCAGTAACAAGTATGTAATATAGATTCCTCCAAAATTCTGAAGTGAACTTAGGATCTCTGTCACTAAAGATACATTAGTGGTCTGTATTGCAGTGTATTGGAGCAAAAAACCACCAAATTTTTGCTAACACTACATTATTTCTGTGTGCAAAAAAACTGCTATGCCAACAATTTTTGGGCAAAAAGTGTAGCCATCCATCATGAATACAAGCAAATGATGTTGTTATTTTAAGAAAAAAATAGTAAAACTGGGAGTTTGTTAGCATCATTGAAGCCCTATTTACCCAAACAATTTCATCCAGCATGATTAGATGGGTTTTTCCAACTTCCCAGGCCAGTCAGAAATACCTCTCAAAGCAAGATTCTTTGAGCCCTATTTGGTTTGCCAGTGATAGGCAGGGAGAGTTCAGGGAAGACATGTGGGGAAGGAGAAATGATTGAGGAAGGGTTATCTAATGGAAAAAAAAATGATGGTGGAAGATGATGTGAGTTTGGTAAGCCTCACACCAGGACCAAGGCCCAAGACATCTCCTATTGAGCCTCAAATTGTTTCAAACAATCTCTTGGCTTCTTGGTTCAGAATTTGCATGACCCCCTCTACTCTCTAGTAAGGTTCTGATCTGGTCCCCCGGAGCCGGATTTCACCCATCCCAAACCCTGGCCCCACAAAAATCCAGCCCTGAGCCGGGTTTTGCCGGATCTTTGGCAAAATTTGAGATACAAGTTCCCAGGGAGAGGCAGGACACTTGTGGGCCGTAAAACAGCACTCATTCAAGCCACCAAAGCTCACAGGTAGCACATATCTTTCCACTACATTATGCCAACTAAAAGACGCCAGCGTTCCCCCTCAAAGACACCCACTATATTTGACGATGTATCCAACTCCAACTCTGACAAGGTCACCATAATTGAAACTAGTGGCCCATCTGCTGCTCCAAAGACTAAGAACTCAACTCAAGATCAAAGCTCGTGGGTATGGCAATACTTCAAGACACAGACCATCGCTGGTAAAAAGTGGAATGTTTGTCAGACCTCAATTGTTCCTAATGGGACCGCCATTTGCAAACAAAAAATTACCCCAGACAAACAAGGATCTACAAAAAGTATGAGCAATCACCTACTCAATATACACGGCATCAAGAAAGACAATGCACGTGAGGTAGGATCTCTAGTACGGTTCCTTGATAATGATAAAGAAATCTCAATGGAAAAGCTTACTTGGGAAAGCTTGCTGTGCGCTGTTGGTCAATATGTTGTCCGATGCCACATCTCTTATCAAACAATCGAGCACCCAGAGTTCAGAAACATGCTGCAGTTGTGCAACCCAATTTCAAAAAACCTTTTCCCCTTGGCTGATACCTTGAGTAAATTCATCTTAACAACCTTCTTGAATGGCCAGAAGGCTTTAAAATCTTTGCTTCAAAAAACTTCCTTCAAAAATTAGCTTGACTTGTGACGGTTGGACCTTGCCTAGCAATGAATCGCTCCTTGGATTCACTGCTCACTGGATTGAAAACTATGAACTCAAATCTATGATTTTGGCAACAAAGTTGATTGATGGCCCCCACTCCGGAATAAACTTAGGGTCTCATCTCACCAAAGTCCTTGAAAAATATGGAATAGCAAGAAAGATCTTCTGCATAACGGCCAATAATGCATAAAACAACGGAACAATGGCAGCTGAACTCAATAATCTCATTGGATTTGATTCGGAAAACTGCATGCTTGGATGCAT